ACAACATTGAATGCTTTCTAAGATGCCAAAGTGGAACAATCTGTGTTAATGAGGTTTATGCCCCTCATAGTGCTATTGCTTAATTTTAAATTACTATAATCAAAGTTGCATTAAATTTATTCATGAAGTCTTTCGATTTCACCGATCTAATACTCAACGCAGCATAGGGAACAGAAAGGTTTTTATAGGATTGGAAAGAGAAAACATGTTGAGAGAGTCCCAAAACCTTTGCTTATCTTTTTAATGATAAGTGACAAATTTTGTTTCTTGATAACAACTAGCCTCAGTAAGAGTGTATCTTAAACTTGTAAAACTTTGTAAAGATCCAGTTGAATATCTGGGTCAGTTAAGATGCTCCATTTTTCCAGCTTGATCTTTAACATAGTCTCTTACTAAAATTATAGTTGAGCATCAAATTCTCTACCATATTCTCATCCCAATGGTCTGAGCCTGAGTGCTGAGGTAGGCATTCTCAACATAGGTCAAATCAAGCATTCAGTTCTATTTGTATATCAAGCAACCAGGATCTTAAATAATGCGTTTTCTGAGAATGATTTGTAGCTCTGGGGCATAATTCTTGCTCTGTACAGTATTTCAATGTTATACGAGTACAAAATGATATACCACTTCAAAACGTTCCATTGGGGTGATTATTGATATATCAGAAGGGATATTGTGACCCAGATAATCCTAATCAGCTTCCAGAAACCTTTGCAGTAGATTCTCATTGAATCTCAAATCTAGTGGTTTCAGGTCTTGCATGTATTTAGCATAAATGACATCATCCACTGGGCCATGTGTTTATACAATAGATCAGCTTTGGACCAAAACATCTTGGAAAATTGAGTTTTGTGAGAATATATCTCATTGTTTCATTTTCTGGGCTTGAGATGTTCTCAAGGTATCATGCAGGCTAATCTCTCACTATTGAATTATTCTCAGTGGTATCCTGGCCAGTGTTTTACCCTGGAGCCAGATTTTTACCACCCAAGGTTACATTTCATTTCTTCACCACTCTAATCTGTAGGAGCAGTAACTAATCAGAATATGCCTGAGACGAATGTTGCATGAAATTGACCTTGTCTGAAATAAAGACCTTCCTTTTTTCCCCCTAGAAACACATTGATGGATAGAAACTTACCATCTTGACCAAATATTAAATAATCCTTGCATTTGATATAATGCTCTGTGATGTCGTTAACGTATCTCTGAGCTTCACAGAAGTTCACTATAAAGTGCAGTGAATGTGTATTTGCAGCACAACCAACAACAACCAACCTGAGCACAGCTGTGTCCACAGACAGCCATGAAGTGACCAATTTCATCTGTAGGATTGTTGGCAGGACACTGAGTAAAACTTCCTTCTCTTTTCAAGAAAATATCGTGAGATCTTTAATGCCCACCTGAACAGACAGATGTGACCTCAGTTTAACATTTCATCCGAAGGACAGCACCTCTCGTCACTGTCAATGAAGTGTTCCACAGCACTGCAGCTATGAGCTCCATAATGTAATTTGCAAAATTCACTGCTACTGTCCATAATGGGCGTTATATGTTACAGGGAGTACTTTCCTTGCCCTGTTGAAATTGGTGGCAGCTCATATGTCTTTTATATTATCCTAACATTACACTTGAGAGATCTTAACCTAGCTAGAATCTTGATGCTTTAAATAAGGTCATTAGCACGACCCATATTCAAGAAGAGCACCATTTTATCTGACAGCTTATTCTACTTGTGTAAAGTGAACATTGACACTGCATTACAATTTCCTAAAGGACCTACACCTATTATGATAGGTTTCCATTCTTTAGGAATCATTTTGAAAATCAGCTCAGTAATATTACGACTTGCACTTCCTATTATATTTTCCAATTCCACTTTTTACTCCACCATTCTTTGGCCCCTCGAAACACATGGTACATTTATATTAGAAACCTCCCAGTTTTATTGAAGAAGAACCTTTGGTTTAACATTTCATCTGAAGGACAGCACCTCTGCTAATGCAGTACACCTCAGCACTGCACTAGTTTGTTAGCGCAGACAGTGAAGGTTAACCTTCTGACTCTGAGGCAAGAATGCTACCAGCTGAGCCATCTATGGTATACAAACAAATTGATTTTTTTTAGCATTATGGTAGACACATCATATGACACCTTGAATATATCTTTAATTTGTTATTCAGAAATAAGAAAAAATTCAGTTGTGAGGATTTCATTGTACCCACACCTGCATTATGTTAAAAATAATTTCTTAATATTCAGCTGAATATCTTTTTTACAGCAAGCTTGAAAATATGGTTGTTTACATTATAATCCCTAACGCTAGAAATAATATTCATGTGTATTAAATTACATTTGCCTGATTACACACATTCAAAACTATGTACAAAATGTAACAACTGACTGTAAATTACAGTAATCATTAATGATCTATGAGACATTTGTCCAGAGATGATTTGTTGATTTTGTGGTGGTCACATTTTTGTTGTCTTATATTCAACTCTACATTGTACGTGAAACAGCATTTTCTGTTGTGGCTTCTTCTGTAGCTGTGGTTTTCATTCAGAAATATTAAACAATTAATATTGAAAATGACCCAGATTTGCATACTGCATCGATTTAATTTTAGATGAATATTCCATCATAAATAATCATTAGAGAACAAAAAAGTGGGCGGTATAGCTCTGATAACTGAAAGGTTCTAGTTAATCTGTATTACTAAATGACCCAGGAAGCCTGCTCAGAGGGATTACAGAATAATTATGTTAATATGCAATTATCACCTCATTTTTTCTGCAGTAACCTCAAGATGTAGTGCAATATGGGTGTTATAGCAAGTGCTGATAGTTTGCAAAAATACTGACATTTGAGATTTCTAAGGAAAGTCAATAAGGATAGCTTCATTATAGTCTCTTGTCATAATGAAAGAAAAAGTCTGACCTTTATGTTCAGATTTTGTTCAACATGATTTTTATATCAATCACATTGATACTACAGAAAGGAAAGAAGGAATTTACAGAAACACATAGACACAATATGAAACAGAATATTTTCAAAATGCGTATGATTTCTTTATTGCACATTACTTTGTAATGATTTTGCCATGCCTTGTAATGAATCTCTGGTAATTACTATCTAAATAATTTCTATTGCATGCTTTTTTGCATTCTTTTGTTAATATTGTATGTTTTAAGAATATATTTTATATCAATATTCCCTCTATTCAATTTCTAAGTATGCAATGTTGTGCTGTAAAAAGACGTTAGATATGCTGATTCTCTATAGCATGTAGAACTTTTTTTTAGTAGAGTACTGATAATAATGAGGACTATAATTTGAGATCATTCATGATATTATGAGGGTTTGTTAGCCTGCTGTTCAGAGGGTACCATTGAAGTTTGCTTTAAATGGGAAACGTCTGTTCTTTCTTTGAACCCCTAACACCAGAACAGATGGGTAGAATATGGAGCACGGAAGGTTTTACCTCTGAGGTGGTAACAGTGAAGCCACTCATTAACACTGAATTTACCACTTCGTTAGCAATGTTGCTTCCTGTTGAGAAAAGCTAGTACAGGTACAGCATATTAAATTAACTGAGCATGCATTTGGCTAGATATATATGTTGGACGCCAGAGTTATTTTAAAATTAAATGTTTCAGCACTTCTGTGTGTGTTGCAGCTGGGTTTAAACGCTTGTTATTTTTCTTCTGTTTGATTACAAATTAAATGAGAGCTTTTGGATTGAAGGATGTGTTATAAAACTCCCAGTGCTCACTGTCACAGCAATTAATTTTACAGCACTTGTTCTGTACAGGTTGCTCATATTGATTAAAATCAGTTAAGGTAAATGAGACAAACAGTACAGCATTTCCAGGCTTGTTTTCCTATTCATTGACATTTTCAGTCGTGATTCTTAGCACCTGTTTGTACGTGCCCACCCCTCAGCTTCTGCTGCGTATTTAACACAGAGACTCATGCTGGGAACTGTTTTAGCACCATTTTAGAGTGATAACATTGAATATGATCTCATTGGAAGTGTATTTTGTTCCCATGGAAATTGGTCAATTTTAGCAGCAGCTGAGTGTTTTGAAGGGGAAACAGGAAGGTTGTAACTAAAATGTGTGGAATCTTGATTCTTCACACATAATTAAAGTCCCCAGTATTTGAGAACGACAGCAGGAATCGTTTTTCTTCAGCAGCAGGCAAGATGGTTTAGATGTAATAGTTGTTGAAACCACTAATCACTTGGTTGATAAAGCAATTGCACCTCTAATTCAAAGTTGATTTAAGTCTTTATAATCATTTTAGCTAGTTTTAGTTAAACTAAGGTAGAAATATTAGATAGGAAATATAATTTTCTATTATATATTATTAAGACAGTTTTGAATAATAATATGAGTGTATGCTAGAGTTTCTGCACATAATTATAATTGTAAACCGATGAAGACATTAAAGGCCGTTTCATTTATGTCATAACTTACCAATTGCATTGTCCATTGTCTGTTTCATACGCCATCCCCCAATGTATATTACAATACAGGTAAAAAGCTGGAACTTACTTTTATTCATTGCATGGATTAAAATCCTTTGGAAGATTTCTATATAAAAAGGCATTTCTCTCTAGGTACATGCACAATGAAAAGATATATAAAATCACCTCGTACCTTGGTTGCTAAGTAAGATTATAATTTAGCAGAGACACACATTTATGCAAGTGAAAAGCCTAATATGCACTGTGGGTACACATTCTGGTTTTTATGTTGCATCGTTTCAAGAAGTGTATGAATGTCTTTAGAATCTGTAATGATCTCACCACAGTCAAATTAACACTCTATGCAATATTCTGTTATTTAGAAACTGATAATTGTAATGTTCTGTGCCAGTTGTATTCACTCTTATCCTAAATGGTATTTGAATTTGACAAGGATCATAAGAAATGAGGTTTTATTTTGCACGTGTATGCATAAAGTAACTCTTTTTCTTTTCTTTTGATGACATAGGATTGATAAGAGTGAAGACTCTGGATTAAAGATGAATAATACGGATAGCATGAAGACCCTTATTAATTCTCACGGTGCTAAAGGCAAAGATGGAGATGAAAAAGATATTACCTTGGCCACTGTTATTACCAGTATACCTCAGACCTCAACAGAGAATTCAATGTCCGTTCCAAAAAGCAATACTTTGAGCTTGTCTAAACATCTTTCCAGGGACAGTTCTGTAAAAGCCTTAAGTGGAGCCCAGCAGACTCTGTTTATACATACTGGTGCTCCTAATGTTTCTAATGCAAAACTTATCTTGCCTACAGGAACTACTGTCAGTAGCCCAGTTCCACAGTTCACCTCAACAAAATCTTCCATTTTGAAGCAAGCTGACATTCCTTTAAGTATTTCTCAGTCTCTATGTCAGTCAGTTGCAGTTTCTAGTTCTTCATCTCATTTTGTTCAATCTGTTCAGGTTCCAGCTTTGTCTGGCTCTTCAAATAAAGTTCAGACAATAGCACCATCCCCGGTTCTTTTACTAGTCCCCAATTTAGTGCCTTTTCAGGGCCAGGTTAATACAAAGTCTAAAATGCTGAGTCCTTTGCCAATAGTGGAATCTAAGTCTGTACTGCGATCAAATACTGCTTCTACAAGCAAGTTGTATTGTACAGAAAGTGAAAAAATGAAAGATAATGGAGACCAAGTGAATGAAAAAGCCGTTACTAATGTCTGTCAAACAGAAAATTTAAATGACATTGGCTTAAACTGGGACCCTCAAAAAGAATTCATGCAGTTTTTGTTAACAAAAGAAAAAGGTGATGATCAAGTCATCCAGATTGATGATGATTCTGAAGTCCAAGCGAATTTTGCGTTTGGAAGAAAAAGAAAACGAAAGATGGATATTGTTCGGTTAGTGGATTTCTCAGAACTAGAAATTGCAAAGAAGCACCAGGCACCTAAAAAGACACCAGTTGCTACGGATGGTTTGGAACCCAGCGAAGTAAAGATGTCAGTTATCAAACCAAAATACTTGCCTGCAAAAAAAAACTTTGACCGGAGTGCTGGCGATACAGGATCAAACCTTCCCAAAGAAACCGTGGAAGCAATTAAACATTTAATCTTCAGTGATTATAAACTACCAGTCAAAAACCTAGAAGCAGCTAGATCAAGTGCACCAGCCACCACATACATCGAAGAAGGTTCACCATTTGGCTCCACAGTTTTTCCACCAGGAAGTGCTATGCAGATAGATGATGTACAAACTGGATCAGAATCACCATCAGATGATGATATTGAGACAGAACCATCATTTTACCCCTGTACAAAGTGCAATGTGAACTTCAGAGAAAAAAAGCATTTGCAGAGACACATGATGTACCATTTAGAAGGACACAGTAAAACAAATCTGCCAAGACCATATATATGTAAAGAATGTGGAATTGCTTTTCGTGACCGTGCACCACTGCAAAAGCATAGGAGCCTTCATCAAGAAAAAAGGGAAAGACTGATGGAGGAGATTCGTGAGCTCCGCACATTTCAGGATGAAGGGCGGGATGCAAAATTACAGTGCCCACAGTGTGTGTTTGGTACAAACTGTCCGAAAACATTTGTGCAGCATGCTAAGACACATGAAAAGGACAAAAGATACTACTGCTGTGACAAGTGTAACTTTATGGCAGCATCAGTGGATGAATTGGAAGGTCATCAAATTTATATTCATGATGCAGTTATTAATAAGTCGAACCAAAAACCTTTGAAAGGTGTATCACTAGAAAACTTATTAAGCCATTGTAAATCAGGAGGTGTATATGTGTGTAGGAAATGTCCTTTTACCACACCAGCTAGGAGTATTTTTAAGAAGCATGTAAAATACTTACATCAGCGACTTTATCACATTCAGCACAAACATGATCGTGGAACAAAGATGCCTGGCTTGAACTCAAAACCATTCAATGTGGTCAGTAGTAATAAAGCTACATTCCAGCATTCAGACTACCCACATAAATTTACAGCAACATCCTTTATGAGGCACAATATAAAAATGGCTTCAGAAGAATCTGGTGCATTGGGGAATTCCTCCGAATTATACAGGAAAGTCTGTGATGTTTCTACTACAGAGAAGACATTTTATACAGCAACAAAAAAGGTACACTATTCATCTGGTTCTACAGTAGATTATGATAGTTCCCCAAAGATGCTGATGGGATTAAATACTGGAAGTGAGAAGGCTAACTTTCTACAACAAGGTCATGGAGAGTTTGCCATCAAAAGGAATGAGACAGCTCTATTGTCGAAAAATGATCCTCTTCACCGTCAGATTCATGTAAAATCGGAAGAACATTTAGGAATAGAAAAAGACTTGTGCCCTAAATCTAATACATTGATACAAAATAGACATAAAGATGCAGAATATACTTTAAACTTCCGTCAATGTCTTGCAGAAGAAGTTTCAGGAGAAATGGAATATGCAGATCCTCGAGCTGTATCAGTTAGAAAATCTGTTAAGGATGTCATGCTTAGTGTGTCTGTTGCCAGTGATCTTTTGGATCAATATCCAAGTGTATTTCACAAAGCACCTGTTGTGGTTTTAAATAAACTTGATCCATGTGTAAAGAAGTTTCAATACGATGAGGAAGAAAACCCACTGGAAGATGATAGTGTTGAAAGTATTAATTGTATAGGTGGGACTGGGACAATTGCTGCAAATGATTTTGATCTTGGTGATGAACAAGACCATTACTTTACAGAACACTTCACCAGTACTGAAGTACAGATAGGTGATGAAAATGGCATTGACGATTATGATTTTGATACATATGATGAGAGTGATGAAGACGATGATGATGATTATGATAATTTTGACAATAACGTTCATGATTATGGCAACAGTGACTACAGTAACCAAAGACTTTACTCTAGACTAGAGTATCAAGATGCTGCACACAGTAATTTTGGTCATCAAAGCTTTCAAATTAACAGTGACGGTAAATGCATAGAAGTTATGGATCCCGTTGTTTATCAGCAAGATGCTCCATTAAATATAACCTATAATTGGACTGATTTTCATACTGAGAAGAGACCGTGCCCTTACTGCCCTGCTGTATTTGACACTGGTGTTGGGTTGTCCAATCACGTGCGAGGACATCTTTATAGAGTTGGCTTAACTTACGACGCACGTCACCTGGTTCCACCTGAACAAATTGCTTCCAACGACAAAAGACGGCGAATCAAAAAAAACAACGCACCTGTTCGGAGAATAAAGAAAGGTAAGATTAATTTCTGTCTTCCATGTTTGTTACAAATAAAGGTTGCCTTTTTCTTTAGCCATTTGTAGTAAATCCTCATGTGTTGTAGGAAATATTTTAATTCGGAATCATCACGAGAAAAGTTGAGTACTTTTCTGACGAAGACGTCAAAGAAAAAGAATTAGTAGGACAAAGGAGCTAAGGAATTATTTTGCATAACGAGTGTGTATACAGCCAAGGAAATTGAGTAGGCGAGAATACACTCACTTTAAAGAAGAACCCAATTGGAAGTTTTAGAAAGGAAAGTGAAATGGCAAAGATGTTAGTTATGTACTTTGTCGTCCCCTGGATTCTGGTGCGAATGGTACAAATAAATCACAATGAGGAAGAAGATATGGATTTTAATTCTAGTAGATGAAGAACATTTAGAGAATCTCTACAAGAAAAGAGTAAAACTTGAGAATGCATACATGTGCCCACCTGATAAAAAGCTTTCTTCTAAATCTTGATCTTATTAATTTGTATGCAGCTACTTGGTGTAAAGATACTAAATAAACCATCATGTTTTACAATAAGTATACAATACAATTGAAATTTTTTAGCAAATGGATAGATAGTTTTGAGAATAAAGTACAAACATCCTTCTTCTACAATAACTATTGTACACTTGTCTGCACTCACTGGTATTTTCACCAAAAAAAAGTCAAATAAACTCCATCAGGGAAATCTTCTGTAAACTTTGTTATGCCGATAATACATTTCCAAGTATTGAATTGAATAGGCATCTTTACAAAAATGTTTTGTTGGTTGTAATCCAGCAGTTTCATACACATTGATAATACTTTACAATGAATTACACTTGCTAACCATTACTTTATGTGCATTTAGTTAATTGCGTTTCTGTACATTATTATATATATATATATTGCTGTTTGCAATATTGTATAAATGTATGCAGATTGCTTTTATAGTTGTTTCTGATGCTCATTCTAAAGTAAAATTTTAAAATAACAATTTGGTCATATAAATTGTGAACCCAGTGACCTTACAGTATTTATTGGTAAATTTGAAGTGATACTTTTTAGTTTTTCATTTAATTTAGGTAATTTCATTTTTTTAACTTACATTTTGTTTCAACAGAAGTAAAATCAGGTTCATCAACTGAGAATACCTGTCCTTTATGTGGAGGATGGTTTGACACAAAGGTTGGACTGTCGAACCATGTCCGTGGTCATTTGAAGAGATTGGGGAAAACGGAGTTGGAGGCACATAAATCCCCACTCAGCATTTTGACTGAATTGATGCAAAATGAAGCAGAAGCTGAAAACATTGCAAAATTGTTAAATAGCAAACAATTTAGATATAAACCATTTGTGTCGCAAAAGTTTGCAACAAGTGAAGGTCTGTTCCTCGCACCAAATGGCATAACTATTAAACTGCAGCAAAATGAAATGAAAGCAAAACCCTTTCCCTTACGGGAGTCAGGTTTGCACAGCTTCAGCACAGATTTGGAATCAAAAAGACCTGATGGTGAGAGACATGTCCAGACAAGTTCTCTGATGCAACTTCTGAAGACTAAATTTGGAGATGATGCATCATCACTAATAAAAACTCAGCCTCGAAGAAGTTACGCTCAAACTGCAAAAAAACGGCTACCAAATCAGAAGCGCCCCCTTCATTCACAGCCAAATAGTTCATTTCTGCAACCTAGCACTTCGTCACAATCAATGACAAATATGGATATAGTCTATCAAGCAGGTATGACAAGTTTGTATTGATCAATTTAATTTCCTGAAAAGGAAAGAATAGAGAGAATGCATTATTCAGGAGTTTTATTTAATTCTCTACAGTTGCCTACAACATACACAGTCAGTACCCTTTACAATATATCATGTGAAGCACTTTAAGACGTTGTTCTGATGTGTAAGGTGCTACTTCAAATGCAAGGATTATTATTATTACATGGATATAATAATTAATAATAATCCTTGCATTTGATGTAGCGCCTTATCTCATTGTTGAGACGTCTCAAAGCGTTTCACTGATTATACTGTAAAGTGAATTGAGTATACGTTTTGGGGGCGAAATGTGACTTTTAGTCATTGGTGTTGAACCTTTCTTCATGATCTATCACAGCAGTCTTCCAAAAATATAACTGCCCATTATCAACACCCTGCTCTCAATGTGACCATGTTTGTTGAAACACAAATTATTACATGGCTTGTAAAATATTTATATTTTTTTTACATAGTTTGGGAATTTTTGCATGATTATATTTGAGGTTGAACTGAAAAATAATCATCCTTAGGATATCTTGGTTAATGATTATTGTCAACCTCCCCACATCAGCACAAAAAAATTCCTAACAGATTTTTGTTAGATGTCTTCTGCTAGACATCAGAAGAGGAATTCAGGATCTTAAGTCTTCACTTCTTTTTGTTGGAAATGCTTATATTTTGTACTGGCTGCAAGTCAATTTGGTAATGTTGTACTTTATTAAGGTAACCACCTGCTCTGGATCCTCAGGTTTATGATGAGCAGCTCAGATGCTGTTCCATTGATTTTCTAGCACAAAGGTTTGAGCACTAGCACTAAAATTAAACATCATTAGCTTCTATTATTCATGCACATGCAAAATGATGACTGTATAAGAGTTCTAATTTAAGAGTTGTTCTTAAAAGCCATTCATTGGTCTGTTTTTACCACCTTACTTTGCATGCCTTTATCAACCATTTTACTTAAACGTACAGAACCATTCATTTCCTCATTCCCTGAATTTTTTTTCATAATAGTACTCGAATTACAACCAATACTTTGGTTTAATCCTGTTTGACTTTCAATGTACTCATTACCACATATTTCTTTTCATTCCAGTTTCTTACTCTTGTCATGTGCTGGCCATTTTATTTTATCCATCATTATTTTGCAGAAGCTGAATTAACTTCGCAAATGAGTGTTTGTGGTCCTTTAGAAGTTATTTTAGAAATAATTAATTTGATGTTTATTCAACAAAATTTATAGCAATTAATTTGTAACATGCAAATATTACTTTCCGTTCTTAATAATAGGACATCCTGTAAAGTTGAGAACTTGTGTGCATTGTCATGCAACATTTACAAGTGCAGTTAGCTTGGCAAACCATCTCAGAGTCTATGCAAGAAAAAAGCAGGCTGGGGATCTGACTGGAACTCGTAAGTTTTAATTTTTTCTGTTGCTGATTCGTAAAGTATACTTTGAAAAGTAATGCCTTCTTATTAGTACTCTAAATAGTTCATTTTGACTTACAAATCATTATAATGTGAAATATTTTTAGTTTAGCTGTGTGTAAAATATACAGCATTTACAGTATGATGCTTTTATCCGCCCAACATTTAGACACAGGTTTCTGGAAACTGTTGTTTAAACTTTATATTTAATTGGACAGGAAATAAATATGATTTCAGGCGCAATAATCACAATAATAAGTGCATCATGAAACATGACAGCCAGTCCTCATACAAATTTTGTCACGTTTTCTATTTTTCAAGTAAAGGTGAAATCTTTTTAAAAGATAAGACAGCTTAACTCTTAAAACTGACTCGTTAAAACTGAGAAAAAATCCACACTGTGATCATTTTTAAAAAGTTACTGAACCGGAAAATAATAATACATAAGGCATGATTTGTTTTTAGTTGTGCTCAATTCTAATATGCTTTAGTTTGATGCAACTAGAAACCGATTGTTGAATGGTATGTTTTTCATTAATTATATAACTATAATGAAGGAGCTGAAAATATTGCACTATAAATAGCATTGAAGTAGTACTTTACTCAACTCAATTTGATTATGGGAAAAATTTAACCTGTGTTACTGGACAAATATCTTCAATATTATCTCTCAGTAAAATTGATTTTGCTTCTTGTATTGAAATGGTTATGATGATTTGATATGTTGAAAGTTAAGTATCTGTCGAATAATGAATTGCTTTATTATAAAAAACTTAGATTGGTGTATAACTGGTGAATTTAATGAGTGTTTTTCCTCATCTTTATGATTTCTTGTTAATTGCAGTGTTTTAAATTAATTAATTGTTGACCTGAAGAACAACTCAGTGTATATTTTTTCTGCAGTTAAATTCTGAAAGGGCATGATATAAATATCCTTGCAAGATTATCACTTTTTCTTGTTCCTCTCCTGAAGTGGTGACATGTGGTAGGGTTTATGGTAGATTCTCAGAGCGTTGCGAAATGTTTTGAGAAGATGCCCTGGATGAAAGGACCTATATAGTGTAAAGTGAAAGTCGGTTTTATTGTTCAGTTTCTCAACTGCTGGCAAGTCCTAAAGTGCCTCATCCAAGGGGTAACGCTTCTTGTGTGAGAGGAGACAATAATTGTAGACAGGCTGTTTGACCATCGAAGTCATCCCAGCTAATGAGAACAATCTTGTCATTGCCCAACACCCACACGAGTATTTTTCAGCAAGAGTAACTCATTGGTAATCAGGAGCTGGAACCTTGGCAGATTTGTTTCCTTTCCCAGCAAGAGGACACTGAAACTAATTGTTACATCAGAGTCCTGTAAATAAACCTAGTCTTAAACTTGTTTTAAGATTATGTAAATTGTGGAAAATTCTTAAATTCCATTTTTATTTGGAAGCTCGTTATTTTTTAAGTACTGAAGAAAACAGTATTGGGAGAGAATGGAGAGAAGCCGGGAGGCGACAACTTGTTGAAGCCTCTTGGAGAGGGAGGGGAGAGGGAAAGTGGGGTTGAGTGAGAGTTTCTGCAGAATGAGGGTGATGAGAGCAGGTTTGAAAGGGGAGGTTGCTGTGCCAGTGGAGAGGAAGAGGTTCATGATGATGGCTGGCATGGCTGAAGAAGCTGGTTTGTCCAGGAGTGATGTAAGCATGCAGTCGAGTGAGTAGATGATGGATTTCAAAAGAGAGATGAGTTAAATATTTGTAATGCTAAAAATGGGAATAAATAACTGAAATAATGTAACTAATATCCATTTTTGAAACTATCTATCATTTATGCCAAACTGTATCTTCAATAGGGAGTCTAATAAACAGATCATTCGAAATACTCAAATAATTGAACTCAAATGAATTATTTGTGTGGAGGATAAAACCTATTCCTAAAGCTACTTTTTTCCAGCTTTTGACTGCAAGCAAAAGAGGTCAAGATCACGATCAGGGATCAAAAAGAAGTCTTCCCTATTTGTTCCATCTCTTGATGATGGTTATGTACTCAAATGCAGGTAAACAGTTTGACTTTCTTGCTCCTATGGGCTGGGCTCTGTTTACAGAGTAAAATCTGTTATGTTGTGTCAGTATTGTCACATTAGTAATTAACTGTTTTGAGGACTTTTGATTTATATTACATTTAGTTTCCAGTTTTACAATTTTAAAAAAGGTGGAGTGAAATGTAAGAATAAATTAAATTTTATTTTCCTTACTATCATTTGCATTGAACTTTTAGTGTTTTGGTTTTGTCAAAATAAATCGTGTTAGGTTTTATTCTCCATGGTTTTTAATCACAGCCTTTAGAAGAATCATAGGAGGAGGAAGAAATCAAATCAAGCTTAAGTACATTATTTTCATCAGAGTAACATTTTGTTTATGGATTTACAGGTTCTGTGACCTGGTCTTCCGGGGTCCACTTTCTGTCCAAGAAGACTGGATCAAGCACTTGCAGCGACATGTTGTTAATGCAAATCTTCCCCGCACTGGTGCTGGAATGGTAGAAGTCTTGCCGCCATCAAAAGAAAGTTTCCCAGTAACTGAATCATCTTTCTCTCTGCTAATGGCACAGGCAGCATCATAAAATGTTCTGAATTGCGATGAAATAATCCGTTGTAACTTTGATGTGCTGTTTTGCCACGAGCACCTAGTAAGGTACATTCTGCCCTCTTATTTCAAAGCTCCGTAGGTCAGTACAACAATATAAGCTATGTATAACCTTAAAATTAATTGAAAAGGCTTGGTTCTTTAAAAACTCAAGTAATTATGCATATATCCAGAATTGTAAGTCTGTAGATCACCAGCAGTCAATCAGCATTAAGAGTTCTGTGTTTAAATTTGTCAAAAGTTTGGTCAGAGCTATAGATACTATCAAGAACATATTTTACAATAGCTAATGCTAGAAATTAACATAAGCAGCTAGTCCTATGTTTTCGTAATCATTTCAAATAGACAGTCCTTTTGCCTGAGGAACCTTATGGCAGCAGGAAATACAGTGTACAATTTCCTGACACATTTATGAACACTATTCTAACTTCCAATTTATTAAGGAAGTAACATTCTTGTTTACAAACATAACAAGTGTGGGGAGCTAATTTTAGTTACAGAAGAGGTGATTTGGCTGTATAATTTTGAAAAACCCAACAGTTGCCAATATTAATTTGTACAGGTTCTTAAACGTATTCTCTTATTCTCTTATTTGTCTCACAATATATTCCATTGTAATACTGTACCTATGATTTTTTTAAAGAAAAGAACGGTGTTCATTATCCTCCCTTTTTCACAATTTCTGGCAAACTTGCAAACTATTTTCTATTACAAATACTTCTCCAACCAGGAGAGCAGAATGGCCTGGCTGTGAACCTTTCAGCGGTCAGCAACATTACTGCTCTGTGATTAGTTCGCAGGAAGCATGATTCAATGAGGGGTGCTATACATTTTCTGTTTTAGAAGATCGTCTATCAGATAGATTATTTGGCAACTCTGGGACGCAAATATATAATCTCACTGAAAGTTGAGCACTCACCCAACCACTTAGGCTAACTGATGGCTACTCCGAAGATCTGGAGAATTTAACACTGATCATATTGTAGAGCTTGACTCATTACAATGTTCTTTAGAAAAACTCAGAATGTAACCAGATATTAACAATGCATTTAAATGCACGATTCAATCTTGAGTTTTGACAACTAGCTGTTTACTACTGGCCTAAAAATTCCTCAGCACATTATAAATAGCAATATTCTTCACATATTTTCTTAATTTGTTTCTGATTTTGTTTTTCCATCAGTTTTCGTTGAAATCCAATCTGTAGATGGCTACTTCATATGAAGAAATTGCTAGTGATTATAGTTCTGCACAAATTAACACGACTGTAGCAAATTTTCTAGTAGCCAGCACCAGTTTTAAATATGGTAGTTTGTAGATAGTTTACCAAGTCTAGTGATTACTGTACTGCTGTACATTTAACGTACTAATTGTTTTAGAATTGCCATGTTCTTAGAAACAGACTTTTAAATATAAATTATGTTCCTCACAGAGGTCAATATTCATCTTCCTGGGGACAAGTCAGCAAATGTATGTACTTGTCTCTTACTAGGTATTGTGTGTACAGAAATATCAGGGTGCATTGCTATTGAGATGGATATTATTCAATTTTATATTTGTATTTTCTAAAATAGGTTTAAATAGTATTTGAGCAGTTGAGTCATTTGAAGAAATAGGTTTACAGGTACTAATTCAGTGTAGTTTTTGATTTGCTACAAATAATTTCTCCCGCCTAACTTGTTTGCATTTTTTTCCAAGCCCCTATATTTCAATTGGATAATGTGAAATTATATTTTTTCTGTACAATTTTATCTAATTGTAAATGAAAGCATGTTCTTTACATTTGAAAGGTCTAAGTACAGTTACCCTTTGGAGTTTCCTTGAAATCTCACTACTGTATCCTTTAGGCATTTAATGAAATTGGTGATACATAGTGTAAGGTCCTTAATTACACTAGTAAATGATATCAAGTGCTCAGAAGTGATTGTGCACGCTCATATTTGTAAGTAAACTGTGTAAACACTATGTCAAAATGTGCTATTACTACAAGTCTACTTATCTAGTGGCAGAAATAAAATGTACAGTCATACATTAATGGTGTTTGAAAGTCTTGTGTCCTTATTGTCCAACAGTTACATAACCTTAAAGTAACTATACAGTATGTGATTATGGGCTAAATGTACCTATTAATAGAGAATCCCTTGGTAAATGAGTTTACAATCCAAGGCGTAAGGATTATTCAATATTTTCTCCTTGTGTATCACTGTCCTTTGATGATGGCTGATTTTTTAAAAAAATAAATTACACTTTCATCTCTTATATTCTAGGCCGTTATAAATAAATTATATATACTGTTCAAGTACACCAACTTTATGCTTTTTTCAGACTCTTTTAAACATTAAAATATTGTACTGTGATCCTGACCTGGTGGTAAGGATATAACACCAACATAGCTATGAATTTATTTTATAATTTTTAAAATTCTATTAGAATAACTGTAGAGTTGTACAGTGTATTGATTAGAGCACTGCCTTACAAGTGAGAGGACGTGGGATTGATTCCCGGGCAGGGTGAAACGTTAGGCATATTTCCTTACTCCACATGCCTCTGTTTACCTAGCAGTAAGTAGGAACCCACTTGTTAGTTGATTGGCGGATTGCTAATAATTCTTTTTTAAAAAAATAACAATCCACAACTGTTTGTGGGATACTTCTGTGCGCAATTGGTTGCTGCATTTTGCCCACAATTTACTTTACAGAATATTCTGTGAAGCGGTCTGAGACATCTCGAAAACGTGATAAGGCACTATATCAAATACAAGGATTATTATAAATGGTTACTGAGTGGTACATTTTCATCAAATATCAGCAGCAGAATTCAGTGAATTGAGTAGTAGTACAGAGGCACACTGATGTCACGTCAGGACCTTATGATTTCTTTTGATGCAGCTCTGCTCAGAACTATTATCCACCTTGACACAGTTGCAACATGTGCCAACATGGAGTCAAAGTACATAGAGAAGAAACTTCTTCATGCTCAGGTGAAAATGTTAATAATATATGATGATATAAACTGTTTACTGTGACTTACCTGTTATGTTATAGGTTCTTGAATTTGCTGTTGATATTGCAAAAGGGCAGCAGAATTTTCATGATATTACTATCCAGAATGATCCTGGACATTCAGGCGAAACTTGATAGATTTTCGATGTGAAAGAGACAACCCCTTTGGATGAGAAACCTTTAAAAGGTCATACCATGACATGAGTGCTAGGTAACACAATTGCTTTGACTAATTAATCGCTAAATTACTGTTTTTTTGCCCTTGTCCAAATTTGAACGCAGCAAATTTTGATTTGGGTTTACAATCTCCCAACATGCTAAAGGAAGTCCAGTTTCAACAAGTGTCACAATGATGCTGGACTGGCCATGGTAACCTATTTCTTGGTGAGATAGCACAAACTGCCTTGTGGACGAACTTTGTCTATTTGCTTGTATCCTGGAGAACATAGAGAAAAGATATGTATAGTACTGTACTTTCAATGCCAACTTTCAGGACTGCATATTGGAATAGCTTTGGCCGGGAAAAAATTAATCATTTTTATTTCAAAATTCCTTTGTCAATTGTTAACTTGTTGACAACCACATTATTTCTTGAAATGAAGACTTTTTTTATAAAATGCCTTTATACTTAATCAACATTTGAATCAGCATTGCAATAAATAAACACGACTAAAACTCACTCTGAGGTATGTAATTTACGATTATGATCTTGTGATAAAGAAATGTAGTTTTAATATTTTCTTAATCCTATAACATTACTTTCCCGTTGATTGTAATTGTTGCCGAAATTATCTTATTTTTATGCATTTTAAAAAATCAGGATCAGCATTCAAGTAACATATTTTCACTCTGATTTTTGACATATTTAGGCTTAAATAGATATAAATATCTTTCTACAATTTAATGATGTGGTGAATGCATTGTATTAGTAATTAATTTTTGTTTCTCATGAAGTTAGCTTCTTGTCTTGATTCTTTTTATATCTCAAATTTTACAATTTGTTTTCAATCTCTATAGTATTCCAGGGGTGCAGTTTGTTTTTCTTACTTTGGTGTAGTTTTTAATTCTTTTAGCTGCTTCGCTCACGAGTGTAATTTTACTACAGATTTCATTAGGGAGTCGAACTACTTTTTTAAAATATATATATATCAGCAGCTACTAACATGATTTGCACATGACTGCACTCTTAAACACACAAACAGAAAGATAGTTTGGTAATGCATTGATTATGTTAGGGTTAAATTAGACAGTTGAAAAAAAAAGGCCATTTAAATTTGTATGAATCTATCTTGACAGAATTGGTACTGTACCAGAATAACCCGGCACAGTTGAATCATTTCATTTGATATGTCAAAATGTCATTATAAGAGGCGTTTCACTAGTAGCTGAATGACTACTGCATTAGAACGTTCAAAGCTTGTCATTATAAAGGGGTTCATTATAACAGAGTCCATTATAATTGGCTTTAAGATTCTGTTCAGGTGGTGAGATCTCCTAGTGAACCAGGATAAGATCAGTCATAGGATATAAATTTCACAGGAGCTTCCTTCTCGATGAATTACGAAATAGACTCACTGCCAAAGGAATGTTTTCATGATTTTTCAACACCAGTGAGAGATCTAACCAACATATTGATGAGTTGTAGGTCTTCCAGTCCAGCTGTCTCCATGGTGTAGCACAGCAGATTGACTAATTATAATATTGTACAATAAAACAATAAAGATTTACATTTATGTAGTGATAACATATAATAACATTCTATTGTATATAGGTGATGTGTATGAAAAGTACTATTGCACTAGGAGTCACATCAAGGGATGCAATTTGGACATCTGAAAGTATCATAAATTGATCTGCTATATTCAAATGTTCCACCACTTGTTTGTACATATGGAGGAAATAGTATGCAAGAAAATCAGACTGGTATATTAACCGAGAATTGCTAACGGATCAGACTAAAACTATTTCAAATCCACTAGTTGATTAGTTAGTACACTATCAGATTGAATTGATGTGTGTAATAAATGACCAAAAGTGGGAGATACTAAATACCTGCTTTACAATAGGAAATTATAAGCATCTTTCACTGATAACCAGAAATTGGAAATAGAACTATTTGCACATCATATAAAGCAGAAAAACAGTTTGTTGGCATAATGCCATTAAATAGAATACCAGGAACCCACAGGAATGAGTTTTCCATGTTATTTTCTGGACCAGGGATACTCAGACAATTTTTTGTGACAGCTGAGAATTAAAAGATGGAAAGCTTCTGTTTCATGTAACAAGGTGTTAGAATGGTCTGTCGACCAACTGAAAGAAAACCGTTTCAGATTTTCTCTCACTTATTTGAATGGCTTGTGCAAAAGAAAGAAATGTCTGAAAGAAATGAAATAATTTCTTGATTACAATATGTAACTCACTGACCATTAACCTTAGAATCATAACATTATACGGCACAGGAGGCGGCCATTTGACCCATCGTGTGTGTGCTCGCTCTTTGAAAAGAGCTATCCAATTCAATCCCACTCCCCCACGCTCTCCCCATAGCCTTGGAAACTTGTCCTCTCCAAATAATTATCTACTTCTTTCTTAAAAGTTGTTATCGAATCGGCTTCCTCCACACTTTCAGGCAATGCATTCCAGATCCGAACAACTCAAAAAATTTCTCCTCACCGTCCCTCTGTTTCTTTTAACAACTATTTTAAATCGGTGCCCTTGGGTTACAGACCCACTCGCCAGTGGAAATTGTTTCTCCTTGTTCACCCTATCGAATCCCCTCATAATTTTGAAAACTTCTATTAAGTCTCCTCTTAACCTTCTCTGCTCCAAGGAGAATAATCCTAGTTTCCCTAGCCTCTCCTATAACTGAAGTCTCTCATTCCTGGTACCATCCTGAATCTCCTTTGCACCCTCTCCAATGCCTTGACATCCTTCCTAAAGTGTGGGGCCCAGAACTGAACACAGTACTCCGTTGAGGCCTAACCAGTGTTAAGGTTCATCATAACTTCTTGACTTTTATATTCTATGCCCCTATTTATAAAGCCTAGTATCCTGTATGCTTTTTTTTAAACAGCTTTATCTACCTGTCTTGCCACCTTCAAAGATTTACTTATATGAATCCCCAGGTCTCTCTCTTCCTTCACCCCCTTTAAGATTGTACATCTAGCTTATACTGCTTCTCCTCATTCTTCCTTCCAAAATGCATCACTTCGCATTTCTGCACATTAAGCTTCATATGCCACTTGTCTGCCCATTTTATCAGTCTGCCTGTCGATTTGTAGTCTGCTACCATCCTCCTCACTACTTTTCCTAGCTTAGTATCATTAAGATTGTAACTGGAATGTAAGAAATATTCAAGGCTTGGAGTATATTTTTAATCTTTGATGATAACTGGAGTCACTTTTGAAGATTGCCTCAATCTAGTTGCAAGAAACTGGTAAGGCCATGAGCAGTTACCATACACTAGTGAGGAGGACCAGTCGTATCTGGCTTCATGCCTGTTTACAATTCAAGCTACTTGAAACATCCATTTGATTTGGATCTGAAGGGCACACTCATTTGTTAAGCTTCAGGAAAGACTGGTACATTCTTTGGTTTCTTTCTCTGGTCAAGACAAATCAGTTTGGGGGTCCATTGGAAGAGATCTATGCCAAGCTTTCAATCTAGCAATTACTTTGGAGCCCATTTATGTGGCACTTGAGAAGGCCATAATAAAGCACCTGGACTAGGCTCATTCCCGAATCACTGATGAAACAAAGGTCACTCTGATCAACTAACCACTGATGGATGAAGTGTGAGAATATATGTCCCTTTCAGAAGTCCATCTTATTTTAGGGAAATCATTTATGCATCAATATAATATGTGCTCTGTTGAAGTGAATTTGTTCATTGAAGATGTTTTATTCTCTGCTGAATTCATTGAATTGCTCCAATTATAGTAACATACAAATACTATGGAGCACCAAAACAATTAGGGAGATTCTCCTATATTTAACCAAAGGAACTTGAACAAACATATTCAAAGTAACATAATTACAAAATCTGGTCACAGACAATAAGCTATCAATATATTACATTGAATCAGTTTGATTCTCTTCAAAAAAATTATAATTTTTTTGGACTACCAAAATTATAATAGGAATCATTTGATAAATT